TACTAAATTTTGTCCAGTTTAGTTAGATATTTGTTAAAAAAATTTATGATTTTATGACAATTTAGAATCGAGTGATGAATGATCATGACCAAGCAGTGTACTGATAAAAGGGATTGTTATGAAGACGATAGAACTCAATAGTAGGGTCCTGCTGCAGAGGAAGTATATTTCCAGCGTACCAAACATTAGTTTCTTTTTTGGAGAACCAGGGCCTAGTTTGTTTTTCTCGCGAATTGGATTAAAAAGAAGATTAATGTCAAATATCAAATTATTATTGATTACTATTGAATCAATACACGTTAACAAAATTAAAAAACTCTCCATTTAATTTAGACATGTTAGATCAAACATACACGTAATATATTCAAAAGTAGTAAACTTTATATATTGGATAAAATTTGATAAGTTTAAAAATTTTAATCATTATACCACTATACTAATAATAATAATAATCGTTAATTGTTTAACACATATATTGACCAATAAAAGAGAGTGCGGATTCTTATTTACTCACTTGATTAGTTTTTTTTTTTTTTTTTACATTCATTTAGAAACTATTTACTCTTTTTGAACATTTTAAAAGTTATACAACATATTGCATATCGTATAAGTTGGAAACTAACAAATTTAAAGTTCGATAGACAAGTAATTTAAGTCATTCATAAGGAAGAACAAATGTTAATAATATGGTGATCTAGTAGTCTTTAACTTTTATATTTTATTTAAATGTTACAAATTTGAAATTTACTGAATAGATAAAATCCATTACTTAATGCATATATGATGAGCTTGTAGTGGCCAGCACATAATGTTTAATCTAATTGGACTGAAAATTTAGTTAACCAGTATATTTGTAGATATTCACTGACCAAATTTACCTTAGTATGATATAAAATATTATCTTTCTAAATGTAATGAATATTCTATAACAATTAAATGACAAAAAAGAGGTGATTGTGGACTAAGGTGATAAAGAAGACATCGACTACAATCTTGGCTTATATGATGTTTTAATAACTGAATAACTTGTGTACGATGAACATCGAACTTTTGAAATATTTAAAAGTTTTATTTTTGAAGATGATTGTAAATGTTATAGAATTTTTATTATTTTATAAAATAAATTATTTACGTGAAAGGCTTTTGAGAATGAAATAGGCCATGTAATATATGTTCATTTTGAAAAACAAATTTTATTCATTAAATCATCATTAATATATTAATTCACTATACATATATAATTTAGTTGTATAAATTATAAATTTTTGTTTAACATGATAATACAAATTAAAATTTTCTAAAATATTTTATTTTAAATTCTTAAATTATGTACTAAATTTCATTATTCAGCTAAAAATGCTTTCTCTCAACGATATTTCTCCCACTGAAAAGGTCGCGGCACCGGCGTGCCCGAATGACAATCCATCAACCAAAAAGGTAAAAATAAGGTTGGACACTAACCACCCGCTTTCGGATGGATTGGTGAGGGTGGATGGTACTACAAAGGAAAATGTGGCGAAGGCTAGTGATCTTGAGTTAGCAAAATCGGAGGATGAAGGACGGGACAATGGCGTCCAAAAAATATGGGAACCGTATGGAAGATGGGGACGTGATAAAATATCCTTCAAGGACAAACTTACCAATACAAGGTCCACGAAGAAAAAGCTAGAGGAGTTTGAAATTAAGGAAGAGGATGTGATTCACGCCACATAAGGGTACCTCCCTATGGTGGTCTTCTCCACTAGGGTACATAATTTCCTCACTTTATCTATGAAGGACTCAGTGATTATAAGGTTGCTGGGGAGGGCAATTAGCTACCGGCCCCTGCTCGTTCGTCTCTAGAGCCTTTAGTGGCCTACCAGCACATTCTAGCTGGTGCACTTAGAGAACAACTTTTATCTTGCCAAGTTTATTAATTCTGCTAACTACACGCACGTCCTCACCGGGGCCCCTGGGTTATTTATGGGCATTACTTAATGGTGCAGCCATAGACAGAGTCCTTCTTTGTTGAGGATGATAGGGTGGCGGAGGCTAGTGATATGGATTTAGCATAATCGAAGGATGAGAGACAGGAGAATGACGTCCAAACAATATGGGAACCGTATGGAAGATGGGGACATAATAGAATATCCTTTAAGAACAAACTTACTAACACAAGGTCCACAGAGAAGAAGCTGGATGAGTTCAAAATTAAGGAGAAGGATGTGATTCACGCCACGGATGGGGACCTCCCTATGGTAGTCTTCTCTGCCAAGGTATATAATTTCTTCGCTCTATATGAAGGACTCGGTGATTATAAGGTTGCTAGGGAGGCCAATTAGCTATCAGCCCCTGTTCGGTCGTCTTTAGAGCCTTTGGCGGACTATTGACACGTTTCAGCTGGTGGACTTAGAGAATAACTTTTATCTCATCAAGTTTAATGATTCCGCTGACTACACGCATGTCCTCACCGGGGGCCCTCGGGTTATTTATGGGCATTACTTAACGATGCAGCCATGGACAGAGTCCTTCTCTGTTGAGGATGATAAGGTGGCGTTAGTGGTTGTATGGGTCCGCTTCCCCGGCTTATCGATCTAATACTATCACAAAAGTGTGTTAAAGGCAATTGCAAAAGCGATTAGAATGGTGGTGCACATCGATTACAATACGGAAGACACATAACGGGATAAGTTCGTCCGATTAGTAGTTTTCGTTGATCTTGCTAAACAACTTATTTTTAAAATCTTATAGAACGTCATTTACAAATAGTAAAGTACGAATGCCTACCGACCATTTGCTCTCATTGCGGCTGTTATGGCCATCTCTTGGAAAAAATTC